AACCATATACCGTGTCGCAATGATTAAAGTGCGATAAAACAAGAGAATCAGTAAGCATTTGTTTAGTTGCAGTAGACAAATCTGTTCTACGTGGATAAATTAGTTTTAGGGAAGAGTAGGCTTTCCTAACCTTCTCGTTAATATGTTTATCAAACCTTAATTGCGAGTCAATAGTCAAACCAAGATTTTTACACGAGGAACTAATTTTTAAAATTTCATTCCCTAAGGTGATTTGTATTTGTGGCAAGATCAGCTGTCGGTTATTTTCACTGCAAAATACAATAACATAACATTTTGTTGAGTTGATATGCAATGAGTGTTTTTCAGATGCACTTACAAGAATAGAGAGATCGTCATTAATACGCCTGACCGACTCTTCAATTTTAGACAGTTCAAAAGAATAATAAATTTGTGTATCATCAGCATATAAATGGCTCTTACAATGATTTAGATGTGAATGTAGGAAGGATGTATATAAGGTGTACAGTAATGGGCCAAGAATGCTGCCCTGAGGAATACCTTTTCTGACTAACAAACAATTAGAGAAAGTGTTGTTAAGAACCACCTGTTGAACGCGGTTTGTTAGATACGAAGTTATAATTTTGATCGACAAATGGCTGAGACGAATAAAATGCAAAATTGCTAATAGAAGTTTGTGGTTCAATGTGTCAAATGCACGTGAATAATCAATTAGTACTAATGTGCATACTTTATTTGCATCAAGTGAGCGCAATATGTCATCGGTAACATCGGCTAAAGCGGTTGAACACCCATATCCACTTCTAAATCCTGATTGGGTTTTGGGAAGAATATCGAATTTTTTTATATGCAAATTTAGTTGTTTATCTAAGAGTTTTTCAACAATTTTGGAAAGGACTGGGAGAATGCTTATACTTCTTAGTTGATTTAATTGTAGCGGTTGGGAGACTTTAGGTAGAGGAATGACATATGCATGCTTCCAAGCAGTGGGAAAGTAACCAACGTTTATACATTCGTTAAATATATGTGAAATATACTTTAAAATAAACGGACAACAAATTAATATGATATCGATATTTAAATTATCACTTCCGTAAGCCTTAGATTTAGTTGTTTTTATGATTTCCAAATTGAAATTGGTGAATTGAAATTCTTCACGCACTTTATGGCAAATATTGTTGTTATAGCATTGAAAGGTGTTCATATCAGGATCAGTAATAGTAGGATCACCAATAAAGAAATTATTTAATTTGTTTACGTCGCTCAAATTTGAAGGTAAATCACGGTTTTTATTAGTTTTAATATTAAGTCTATGTAGTTCACACCATTTCTCTTTAGAATTGCAGCGGGATAATCTGTATTGCAAGTATGCTTTTTTTTCTCTCTTAATAGAAGCAGAAGTGAAATTTCTGAGTTCCTTATAGTACTCCCAGTGAGCAGGCAGTTTAGATTTACGATACTTTCTTAAAGCCTTATCTCTGAGTTTTTGTAGTAGTTTGATATTGTCTGTAATCCAGGGTTGTTTTTTAATGTTGTGTAAAATAGTGCGAGTTTGAAGAGGTGCAAACTCGTTAACTAAATTTAAAATTGTTTTATTAAAATAGCTTAATTTAGCATCAATATTATCAATGTACAAAATTTGTCTCCAGTCTTGTGCCTCCAGCGCACGTTGGAAAATATTTAAATCTATATCATAGAGTTTCCTAAAAGTTACATTTTTTGGAGACGCTTTTTCTAAAGACGTTCTAAATTTACACCAAACCAGGGAGTGTCTACCTATATTTACATCAGTTACATCGCAACAGTCCACATCGAAGTTTGTATAGATATGATCTATTAGAGTCATGCTATTATTAGAAAAATGAGTAGGATCAGAGACAATTTGATTTAACTGAAAAGTATCTGTAACAGATATTATATCATTAAGTTTTTGAGATTGAAGTTTTAAATTATCGACATTAAAATCGCCAAGACACAACATTTTATCTACTTCCGGGTAAACATGAATTAAGGCATTTTCAAAATGATTGAGAAAAGACTGGTAAATGTCATTGGTGTTATTAGGAGGCCTGTAAACTACACCTAATCCATATTTTACATTATTTGTTTTGAATAGTATCCAAAGTTGTTCAATAGACTCAAAATTCTCTATAAGCAAAACCTTATATTCAATTGATTTTTTTAAGTAGATTGCCACACCACCTCCCCGTTTCATAGATCTATCGTTTCTAATCAAGTTGTAACCTTTTAAATTAACTAGTTCATCATCAATTCTATTGTGTATCCAAGTTTCAGATATACAAATAATATCAAAATTTTTAGACGTAACCAGATTTTTAATATTATTAATTTTGGGAAAAAGCGAACAGACATTTAAATGCCCTACAGTAAAAGCCATTGACCAAAAGCATATAAAAAAAACACACCTAATAAAATATATGCTAAAAAAAAGAGTATAAAAGCTCAGAAAACTAAAACTAAAACTTAAACCTTCTAAAAGTATTAGAGATAAATAATAAATGTATAATAATAAGCAAATATTTATACTAACGCCACAAAATTTCAGCAACTCGACCTTAAGAGGCTAGAAGTTTGCTACTGTTTTGAAGTTGAGCGTGTGGTCTTCTTAACCACAGGAACTTGATGCACTTTACCCAATTTATCCAACTTCGAAATGGTTGAGTTGGCGGCGACGGCTTGCTTCGTAGGTTTGTCTTCCAACTGTATGTTAAAGGGGTCGGAACTTGAGCCAGGAGTGGAAGGGGCACTATCGATTTTTTGAGTTTTTAGACTATCTAAATCATCCAGTGAGTAACTTGTATTTTCCAAAATTAATTTGTTGCCTCGTATGAAGCAATGTTTGCCTTCTTCCTTATATTTCAAAAGATATTCCTTGAGTTGTTTATACTGAGCTCTTTGAAGTTCAGTTAAATCATCCGCCACAAAAACTCCTGTATTCTTTAATTTATTGGAATTGAGAAGAATACTTTTTTTTTTGAGATAGCTACAAAATTCAATTTTTAGAGGAGCATTGAGGTCTCTGCCCAAAGAGTAAAAGTTGGAGATATCCGAATCAATTAAACTTATGTCGAAAAGTTTATTAATTATATCGATGATAAAATTTAAGTTTATTGTATTATTGGTTTTTTTAAGACCAAATATAATAATGTTTCTTTTTAGAGTTATTTCCAACTGTTCAACTTTATTTTTTAATTTGAAATTTTCTTCTTCCAGATCTCGTACTTTTTTACTTTCTAGCTCAATAGACGACTGTAATCTCGTTTCGCAGGAACTTAATGCATTCTTAAGCTCAGTTTTATTGCTCTCCATAACATCTATAAGCTTTTTTGAATTTTCTTCGAGTAGTTTTTTGATAACTGCCTCCGTCATGATTTAATTGAAGTTCAACAATAAATTTGTGTAAACGTAGTTTACTAAACGAAATATTGGATACAATATAAATTAATTTTATTATTATCTCTTGATGTTATCTTTACTATCTCGAGCACAAAAACTAGTCCCAGCCGTTGGCTGATATATACTTCAGTAGAGTAAATGATGAAAAGTATGCAAAGATTTCGTATTAATCAAGTGTTTTTACTCACAGTTGTAAGAGTGGTTAACTAATCACTTTTGTAGTCATTGGTTCATAATTCATAATTTTTAGACACTTAGAACCATAAAAATATTTAAACTTTAACAGGAGCAATTTTACAAACACCATACACTGGACTACGTTTACACTTGACAATATTAGGTAAACGTACACATATATTTTATGTTGCAAAACTCTCGTCGCCCATTTTTTCTACTTAATTATTCCTGCTATCCTAGAGTAATAAAAAGAGGTAGAGGCCAGAGTCAAACGAGCGCGCATATAAGAGAAACCTCATATCCTTATACCAGAACAATGCAATGTAATATGAAAAATTATGTTATGTAGACTAATAAATTAGTTAATAAATTCTGGCTTCTTCAATTCTTTTGAAACTTCAAATAGTTAAAAAAAATCAAATAGAAAACAAAAAGAAAAAACCGCGCGGCGCCTTTCCTAGGCCCAGTGGGCCCACTTGTCCCTGAGCACTAACATCAAAAATTATAGGGTTTACTGTTTTCGTAATTTTTCATGACAAATTGTTTCTTTGTCAGTGGAAAAAAAATATATTTTAATATTTAACTTTTGTAAATATGTTTTTTACTCCAACATATACCTTTTCGTTACACTCTCTATAAGTAAAAAAAAACGAATATTCTATTTTAAATAAATGTATTTCTCTACACAGTACGAATATAATATACAAAAGCTACACTAGACTTATAACAAATAAAAACAATTACGCTGCCTGCCTTATATAATTTCAATATTCTATCTTAATATCTAATAAGCAACTCTTCAAAATTTAAGTTTCTTTTCCTAACGCAGGTCACAAGCAATTTGATTTAAGTATCTACATTTTACAACAAATAATGTTAAGAATATTATGGCCCAAGTTTAAGAATGGGAATTGTTTGAATTTTGACGTGAGCCATACAAATATTTCATAGATGGCTCAGATAAAAATGAATAATTTTAGGATAAGTTTTCAATTTCTGAAATTTTGTTTCAAAATTCAAAAAATTCACTCATATATCAGATATAAAATTCGATCTAAAACAGAACTTATAAATAGTAATGGCTACAATAGTTATTAAAAAACACTAATAACCAATTTTAAAACAATAATTAAATATAACAATAGCAGCAACGCGTACCAGCACTTTTACAATTTTGGTTTCAACTGGCAGTGACAAAGATCATTCTACGACCTCGATGTCGTAAAACAAATATTATAATACTGTAAAAATAGCAGCACTTGAATTAAAAATCCTTCAAAACGTTTATATCACCGGTTATATGAAATTCTGATGCAAGTTTTCCGACAAAGTATAGCAAAAATAGATACAACTTGTATACTTTGTACCATAATCACAGATAGATCCTACAAAGACCTAAAATTCCAGATACTAGATTCTTGATACTCAACATACACATTGATCTATTTTATAGTTGAATGTATAACAATATTGTATTTATTTGAGGAACAAAATACCTTGCTTTACATCGTCAAAAAACTCATTACAAATTTTGTACCATAAACTAACCAGACCAAATCACTGGTTATAATAGTTCAAAGCTGCGTCCACAGCTGCCTTGGCAAATTCAGTATCGCACGGGCTACTTCCCCAAAAAGGTCCCGGACAACCTCTTTGTTCAAAGCACTTTTCAGGGTACACATTTGTAGCTGCCGAACAGCAAGAAACTACTGCCCATACGCAGTTGCTTGGACCAGAAGGTCCTTGAACAGGAGGCACTGTTGTAGTTCTGGGTCTCTGAGGTCTCTGAGGTCTAGGGGCTAGAGTTCTTGGAGGGGCTTGAGTGGTTCTGAATGTGTCTTGGTTAAATATTTCATTGATGGTGTCTTCATCTTGAGCCGAGAGGTGTATTGTTCCTGTATCTTGAGGGTCGTGAACGAGAGGAGGATAATCTTGTGCACCTGTAATAAAAGAATTAATAAATATATTAAAATAATCAAGAGGTATTATATCTAAAGGAAAATTATATTATTTAACTATTATGAGGTATACATACTTTTTGGAGGAGGAGGAGGTCTTGTTGGCACATTAGACATTCCTTTATCATTGTTATTACTTTCAATCCAAACGGGCCTGTCATCATCATCATCAAAGTCGAACCGTGATGCTACTGTCATTGTTTCTTCAGGTGCCTTCGTGGTAGGTGTATTTGGAGGTAAGTAAGGGGGTCCCTTGAATGGAGGTTTGTTGTTTGGACGATAACGACTGTTGTAATCAAAGGATTGAGGAGGAAAGTACATCGGGATACGTCCGGATCCTCCATAAACTGGGATAAAGTACGGTCTGCTTAGTTGATATGGCGCTGGTTTCCATACCGAAAAGCTGCTGTATCTGTAATAAAGAAATTTACATATAATATCGATAAGAATCTTGTTAAAAATTTAAAAAAGTAGGAAATGAAAATAGAAGGCAAATTAGTTCCTTTGCAAGAAAAGGGCAGCCATCGCTTATTTGGAGTGACAATGGCACCAACCTGAAGTCTACATTAAAAGAATTAAAACAAGCCTTAAAATAAATAGACCTGCTAATCCTCACATGGCTGGAGCCTGAGAGCGGATGATTCGGTCAATAAAAGGTATCTTGGGGGATGGGTGGCTCAGTGGTAGAGTCTCTGCCTGCGGATCCAAGGGTCCCAGGTTCGAATCCCACCGTTGGCCGGGATTTTTTCATTTAATGAAATTATTTGAAATTAATTCTGATGCCTTGGTAGGATTCCCCACTCGAACTTTCACTGTTGGGTTCTAATTAACAGTGCTGTTCCTAAAGTGGTGCTGGGAAACAAAGCCTACACAGAACAGAGGCTAATAACCTTAGTAGTTGATGCCGATGACACCAAATAAAAAAAAAGGTATCTTAAAAGCTTCTCAGTCATGTTTCATGACAAAGCGGGTTCTCAAAATATTGCAATTACCACTGTCAAATTTAAATTTAAATATTGTTGCAGTTAGCCAAGTACGCAATCCAGTAAAAATTCAAACCAAAACCAAAATAAAGTCAATGGTTTGCAATTATGACACATTTGAACATTTTTTAATTTTAGAAAAAAATCACATCTAACATATCAAATCACTAGTTTGGTATGTCACAGTTAAAGATACCTCCTAAAGTTAAATTGGTGGACGAAAGTGTTAATATTGCACATGAAGTCCATATGTTGTTAAATGCTAGAATATTTTTTGAAACAACACCGGGTCAAATAAATCTTGGTGTAGGTTTACCGGTCCTACAAAAAAACATTATTCGGCTGGGTAGTTGCGGGCCCATTGACTATTTTTCACGATGTTAAACTTTACGAAACTACATGCAATTTATCATTAGTTTGCGAATTAGATGATTGAAAAATTTTGGAAAATCGAGGAATGAAAACTAAAAAAATCATTGTCAAAGGAAGAGCGTGAATGCGAAGAACATTTTGTCGAAACAATTACGCGCGATATCGATGGTAAATTTGTAGTGACTGCCTCCTCACGAAAATATGCGAGATCTGGGCGATTTACAAATCGCGAAAAAGCGGCTTTTTTCCGTTGAAAGAAAATTCGAAAAAATCCTAAATTTAAGGAAAAGTATACAGCCATTATGCGCGAATATTCGTAAATGGGACACATGATCAAAATCTCAGACAATAAATTGAATTTGCCAAACAATGATATTGAACAAAAAATATATTGTTTACCACACCACGGCTTTTTAAACGAATCAAGTATTACAACAAAACTAAGGATGGCGGTTCAGCCAAACCTTTCTCAGGTTTGGCTCTCAATAACGTTGTTAAAGGTACCATTTCGGTAGGCGCAACAGACGACCGCCGACGCGACATTCGACCGCCGACACGACCGAGAAGTGTCGCTTCACATCTAAAATACATACAATTATATGAAACACATTTCGCACGGCGCTACACGACCGAGAAGTGTCGTCCTGGAAACACTTCTCGGTGCAAAGCTTTGCTGCGTATCGCACTCCAGGTCACTGTCCTCGGCATCGCTTTTTTTTTGGGGGTGATTCGGTCGGAAATTTCTTTAGATCTAGGCAGCGTTGCCAGATTTTAAAACAGTATGGGTAAAAAAACCGTAGATCTGAACAGTAGATTTTAATACAGGGGGAAATAATTAAAATTTGCAGTGTAGTAAATGAAAAAACAAGTATATAAGAAACTAAAAATAAACTTTTTGTCGACCCAAATTGGAAGGTAAACAAAGAATAAAACAAATAATATTATTTTTAATATATGCTTAACGTACGGAAACAAAAAAAAGAACAATGAAAAATAATAGGTACCTACTTCTTTTAGTTCTGTCTGAATCAGATAATTCAAAATCGTAGTGTGCATGTTCTTTTTATGATGCCCTATTAATTCTTTGTTTCATTTTAAATAAAAACAATGATTATCTTGATGTTTTTTTTATGGAGCCAACCTAGAGTAGTTGATGCTTATTACGCTGCTTTCACTGCAGAACATTTACTAGAGAAAATATTCTTTAACCATTTGCTGAAGAATGAGGCAAACTTAATAAATTAAGAACAAAATTTGCTAGAGACAAAAACAGTGGATCTACGTGAAAACAGTAGGTCTGGCAACGTTGATCGTTTCCTCGAATGGTTATCCTGTAACTGTCGCGCGACACTTCTTAATCTTGCGAAATGCACCAAGCGTAACATTTATGCATCTGTCGTCCTACTCGACCTTGGGGTCGCATCAGTGGTCGCTTGTCTCTTGACGCGCCTACCCAAATGGTACCTTAAAATAGGGCCATGTATACAGGATGACCTATTCTCCATATCGTGTAGATTTCGATGGCATAATGTTGTAATTATTACTTCGGATATCGCGAAGATGTATCGGATGATAAACGGTAATGAAAATCAACAAAACTTACAGCGTATAGTGTTGCGCGAAAATGCACAGGATGAAATGCATCATTTTAAAATAACGACCCTTACTCATGGAACAGGTCCGGCCTCATTTTTAGCCACTCGTTGTCTGAAACAAATTTCACATAATATTGAGGGCGAATCTTCGTATTTAATTGAAATCATAGCTCGAGACTTTTACGTTGATGATCTGATAACGGGGGAAACAACTGAAAGCGAAGCTATTTTTATTGCTCAGAAAATTTCTCGAATTTTAGCGGGTTATGGTTTCAATTTAAGAAAATGGAACTCAAATAAATTATTAGTTTTAAAAAACTTAGCAGGTTCAGATCGCGATAATTTTGGTCATTTTTAAACCGAAAATGATAGTTCGAAAACCTTAGGAATATTTTGAAACGCAAAATCAGATGAACTTGAATATGTAACGGATTGTAAACCTCGACATTATGGCCAGGTTACTAATCGTGTGATTTTAGCATCTATTGCTAAGATTTTTAACCCGCTGGGTTTAATCGGTCCAGTTATAACAAAAGATAAAATTCTCATGCAACGGTTATGGCAACTCAAAATAAGCTGGGATGAAGTACTACCCAGTGTATTTGGCAGGAATTTGAAATACAATTGCAAACATTACATACTATAAAAATTCTTAGACACGTCGCTACAAGTGGAATTAAGCATATTGAATTGCATGAATTCAGTGATTCGTCCAAAAGGGCGAGTGGGGCATGTATTTATGTTCGAGCGATATCGGAAAGTGGTTTGGTTTCAGTTAAGTTACTATCACAAGTAGCCCCACTAAAAACAATTTCTCTACCGCGATTGGAGTTGATGGGGGCAGTTTTATTAGCACTGTTAATGAAGAAAGTATTAGAGGCATTTAATCACAACGTGTAAACATTTTTATTGGTGTGATTCTAAAATTGTTTCATGCTGGTTGGCGGAGAAACTTAACATTTGAAAAACCTTCATTGCTAATCGCGTGAGTGAGATTCGAGTTTGAGTGACATTGAAACCTGGTATCATGTCAAATCTAAACAAAATCCTGCGGATGTTATATCACGGAAAGCCAATCCAAAGGAATTAATTAAATTGGACTTATGGTGGAACGGACCACAATTTTTGTATGAAGTTCCTATTACAAAGTTAATGAGACAAGATAACCAAGTTAATGAAATTCCTGAAAGTGAGATGGTTAAACCTATTGCTTTAACCAGTCAAATCGAACATTTTAATTTTTTGACTGATATTCTACTTTGTCTAAATTACAACGAGTTACGGCATGGTTTATATGATTCATAAAAAATTGTAGAATAAAAAAGGTACTTAGACTAAGCGGGGAAATTTCTAATACGAAAATAAAGGAATATGAAACATTTTAATAAAATAAGAAAAGGATTGCTTAACAAAAAACAAGCAGGTTTTCCAAAAAAGTAAAATCAAATCATTAGACCCATTTTTTGATGCATTTCAGACAACGACATGCAGGCCCACAAGCCACTCTAAATGCGGTTAGGCAACGATTTTGGCCTATTAACGAGCGCCGATCTGTTAGAAGTGTTTTAAGTGTGTTCTTTGTTTTAAGGTAAAACATATTCCTTGTTCTCAAAAAATGGGTAATCTGCCCTTTGATCGGGTAAATCAATCAAGACCGTTTTATGTATGTGGGACATATTTTGCAGGGCATTTTTTAATAAAATATTGAAAGTTAAGAAATCGTTCTAAAATAGAAGCATATATGTGCATATTCGTTTGTTTCGTCACTAAAGCTGTACATATAAAGTTAGTGAGCGATTTATCGGCTGAATCCTTTTTAAATGGATTTAAACGATTTATTTCGCTTAGCGGGCTGTGTAAAAGGGTTTATTCCGACAACGGGTCCAATTACATTGGTCCCAGCAATCAAATCAAGAACATACAGAAATTTATTACTAAAATTCCATCGAACAGTCAGGTTTTAAAATTTTTTACAGAGAACAACATTGATTTATACCAGCGAAATCACCTCATCAAGGTGGCATATGGGAGAGTGCCATAAAGTAGGAAAAATATTCTCAGAGAATCGTAGGAAATAATCATTTGACGTTTAAGGAGCTCACAACGGTCTTTTCTCAAATTGAGGCAGTGTTAAACTCTCGACCTTTAACAGAAATGTCTCATGATCCTTCTGACCTCGTTCCTTTAACTCCGGCCATTTCCTAATTGGTTCCCCTCTCACCGCGCTACCTGAAGTAGATGTCCAAGAAGTAGTCGACAATCGACTCTCGAGATAACAGTTGCTTCAGAAAATGTCTCAACACTTTTAATCCCGTTGGTCGTATGAGTAACTCTGTTCTTAGAGGTGATGAAGAAGTTATGGAAATGATCCATTTTAATTTTCTTCGACGTATAAATCTTTGTATGCGTGAAAATGGTGAAAATTTTAAACAATTTTTGTAAAATCTCTATTTTGATTATGT